AGGATGCTCGATGCATATGTTTTCTATGGTAGTTAAGAAATATCAACAAACAACGCAATTTGTGGGGCAGTCACCTTCCTTTTACCTACATAGACAGCACAGTAAACTTTTTCTTTCCAGTAATTTAGCGCACAGATTTATAAAACAATTAACTTTTGCATTTAAATCCCTTCTATTATTATTGTTGTGATCAAGTGATTAACTAGATGTGATTAGTGTGTCAAGTGATCAAGTATTCTTACCCACATTTCTTTTTTCGCACCGCAGTTGTGCTACAGTCGCACTACATAATCTAAAAAGCATGATCTAAGATGACAGCTTTTCGCCTTTGGTATAAAAATGGTCGATAAGCACAAGCTAAAAAAGCAGTCTGCATCCGGATAAAGGAACTTACATGCGCTGCATGTTACTCATAAGTTTCCGTTTCCCGCACTTAAATGTGTTCATTTGATAGATGAGATAGATAGATAGATAATTCAAGATAAATAAATAAAATAGATCACTTTTAGCGTTTCGGTCAATTCATGCATGTACGGCCGTCGTAACGTTTTCTTTTGCCGTTTCATGTCAATCTCCTATAATAGTTCAGTGCAATAAAACCGACAACGAATTACCAATTATTTACTGGCTGCAGGAGACTAAGCCGTTGTCGACCATCTATAAGCCAACGTTTCTCGATTCTGGTGGCCGCCAAGTCAGTCGAAGAGGAAGCAGTGAGTATCATTTCGAATTGGAATCCCCTCAGGAATCAATTCTTTGATCCCCGTCATTTTAATCAGAAGTACTTCTTGGAAAAACGTGAAAATGGTTGATTATCGGTAGGCGAGGGAGGCTATTCTTTTCTCTCTCTCTCTCTCTCTCTCTCTCTCTCTCTCTCTCTCTCTCTCTCTCTCTCTCTCTCTCTCTCTCTCTCTCTCTCTCTCTCTCTCTCTCTCTCTCTCTCTCTCTCTCTCTCTCTCTCTCTCTCTCTCTCTCTCTCTCTCTCTCCCTCTCTCGCTCTCGCTCTCGCTCTCTCTCTCTCTCTCTCTCTCTCTCTCTCTCTCTCTCTCTCTCTCTCTCTCTCTCTCTCTCTCTCTCTCTCTCTCCTCTCTCTCTCTCTCTCTCTTTCTTTCGCACCATAAACATTACCTTACCGTGTAAAATCCACGGATAGCTTATTTGATCCACGCCCCACGGATTTGACTCAAAACGATTCTTTCTACCTCCAGCCGTCTCCTGCGATCCTTCGTCTCCTGCTCCCGCTGCGGCTGTGTCAAACAGCACACCTCGCCGGCGTTCCATCGTACCTGGATTAGAGTCACCTCGCGAGACTCCCGGACCCCGCGGCAAGCGGGGTCTGCATCTGTTTTCCCCACCTCCACCTGCCAGAGCGACCGACGCCCGGCAGACACCACCGGGTCAACAGTTCGGTGACCCAGGTCATCAAGCTGGATCTTCTACTGTGGCGCGGTGTGGACTCTCGCCAGGTCCCCACGGGTCACCAGCAGACCATGGCGAGCCGGTGACTGGTGCCCAAGTCATAGACCATGGGCACTCTGCTCTGGGCACTCCTCCAGCGCCCGGAGTGCAGGAGTGCCCCCGACAGGTGCTGGAGAGACTCGCCTCCTCACTCGGGCTAGATGTGGTGGGAAGAGGCTCAACATCAGCAGAAAGATCAGTGATGACGACAACGCCACCAGTGGCTGCGGCACAGTACGGTCAGGCGCCGGGTAGCGCACCAGTCTGCTCCCCGTACGGTACTCCAGTTCGGCCGCAGCAGCATCCCAACACCGCCCTGGCATGGTCTACGTCCCCACAGACGTCTGCCCACAGCTGTGCATCGCCGGCGGTTCACTCATACTCATCGGCGACCGGTCTGGTGCCGGTGCCGACTCCCTGTCCGCCGGCGGCGGTATTTCCGTCGGTACCGACAGTAGCGGCGGTACCCGCTCCCTGCTACCCCGTCGGCGGCGGCGGTGGGACAGGGGCGTGGTGCGGCGCGCCGATGGCGGTGCCAGAGGTGCAGTACCTGACTCCGCCGCCCCGACCGCCTCCCGCCTGTCATATGTTGACGCCGCTGCCGCCCATCACTCCTCGAGGAAGTTGCCACGCCGCTCATGGCACTCCTGTACCTCATCCTGCGGCTCCTATGGCGCATCCTGCCGCTCCTGTGGCGCATCCTGCCGCCAGTGCCCCTCATCCTGCCGCTCCTGTCGCCACTCATCCTACCAATTATTCTGCCGTTCCTGCGACTCATCCAGCTTATGCCGATCCTGCGACTGCACACGTCACCACTACCGGTAATTACCTTGTCAGCCATGCAAATTTGATAGCTTTCTGCGTCACTATGCCAGTCTCAAGGGTGTGATATCAGCTGCGTGGTTGAAAAGTAGGCCATTATTCGTACAGCAAGTGTGCTAAGACTTATTGTCATGCATATTTTATGATGCGATGGGCTGCTAACTACTTAGCCGTTTCTTTACTTTCGATGTTAAAACACTATGGACGGTGTAGTAAAGCTCAAAAGTCGCTTGATATCAGATGACGTTCGAGGTCAAAGTTGTACTTCATAGTTAAGGCGTACCGGACGTTTGTTTCAGCCGTCTATGGTGACGACCTGGCCCAGCAGATGGAGGAACGGCGGCAGAAACAGGAGCGAGACAGAAACAATCTACTGATGTGAGTCGATGACCTGTCGATGGACTGTAGATGACGGACGTTGCGCACCGTCTATGGAGATAGGCTTTTGCATTTTTTTCTTTATAATTTCCACAAATGACCTAAGCCTGGAAAGAGGAAAAAGTTGTTTCATTTTTTTTCGAAAGAAACGGTCGAGTCCTTTCCTACCATGTGGAAGCCATTGCTGCAGAGCATTCGAGGCGCAGCTAATTAAGTCGTCCACTATCATCGGTTTTATGTGATATTTATTTCATTATTATTGTACCGTGCAGGTTCCAGCAGCAGCAGTCAGGCGGCGGAGGGGGACTGGGTTTCGGTGGAGACGGCGGCGGTGGAAGACGGAGACCGCACGTCTCTGAGGTAGGTACGCCGGTGACGTAGAAGACACCTCAGCTACGTATAAGATACATAGCGGCCGCTGAAAATGTATATTTGTACTTACTACTAAAAGTTTACATTATGCTATGCGTTGTAATTTCTAACTTAAGACTAGCCATGTTTAGACGGCTAAAACATTAAACTCATCGTACCTACTGGCTGCATCTGGATGGCTAGGCATAGTAGTAAATTGAAGACGCTCTTGCCTGTGAAGGCAAACGATTGATTTTTTTTTTAATGAATGAAATAAATCGCTAAATACAGAAGTTCGCTGTACTTGATTTGCACTACCATCATGAATCATCAACTAACATCTACATTGCTTACATGTGTGCCTTGTAAAGGTAATGTGTAACTCCTGCACATATTACGAATTTGCGCATGGAAACGTCTAACGAGACGCGTTTGATGCATTTGCGTGCCTCTGTACACATTTTGTGATCAAACCTTTCCCTTGTGAATAAATACCTTTTGTAAATATAATCATAGACCTCTACATGCCGTATGAATGTAGAGTACGTAGAGGTCTATGATATAATATCTTTTCTTCAAAATAATTACCCTCTGTATACTGGTATGCATAGACATAACGTGTTTAACTGTTTAGCTTGGTTTTAGCCCTTCTAACCCCGGTATCCAGAGGTCTACGCTCAACTGAAGGCGATTGGCACATAATATTTCGATAATCAACAAGCTTGAAAGCAATTTAACACCTTCGGGCATCACAATATGCTTTGTATTCACGGACGTATAAATAAACGTATACGTCCTTGTTTGTATTTCACACCCATGTATTTTTGTAAACTGCACTTTTGAGTTTGATATTCGACTACGGCCGGTTGTAAGTACAGTGCCGAGTCCATATTCGCACGTCGGGCTGCTTTGCCTACCTCAGAATGCTTTTCGCCGCTGACTTTGATACTGTTTGAAAGGAAATCCCGTGACCGTGGAAAATTCTTGATGGTCATACTCTAGCCTGCTCTTTTCCACACATGCTGTTATTCATTGACATAGCATTGTGGGCGCTCGGCATATCGTACGAATTTTACAACGTATTGACCTAAGTGGTTGGATGTCTTTTCAATACACACGGCTCTACGCATATCGTTGCTGAGTGCTATAAACCATCTGTTTTCAATGTTGTGTCCAGTTCTAATGCTGCGGCTGCGTTTCAGACATCTTACGAGCGTGGTCAACGTTCACAGACGGATTCAGTCCAGGGTAAGTTAGCGGTCACAAATCGGGGGAACAGCTTGACCTGCATACCTACATGAGGCACCTCGTAGCAATGCAGCTGTCACGCAGAGGCGGATCCAGCTCAGAGTTTTGGGGGGGCAAACCATAACAATTTATCGATTCTTTCCATGCATCGTCCATAGGCGTAATGTTAAAATTATGCCGTTTGGGGGGGGGGGCAAATACCCGTTTTGCCCCCCCCCCCCTGGATCCGCCACTGCTGTCACGTCTCTCGGGGGTTGTCAGTTGGGGTTAGCACAGCAGCTGTAATTTTTCTTCCACGCTCTTTTATATTCAAGCACTGCCCGCTTAGGCGCATTCCTTTCGCGTATGATCGTTTCATTTCTTTGCAATTATAGCGTGACTTAGGTACAAATGTCCAACATTGGAAACCAGTGAAGTTGTCACAATTCCTTCCCTAGAGCCTAGCCCACTCACTGATTGTGACTACTCCAAGACTATCCCTGACCTATGATGACCCTTTTTGCTCCCATTAGCCACGCTGCAGCAGCAGATTGCTGAGAAGAAGCAGCGAGAAGCAGAGAGGAAGAGGATGGAGGCAGAGGAGGATGCAGCTCTGAACGCCCGGCTGGAGGAGCAGCAGCGCAAGGTAGGACGGGAGAGAGAAAGAGAGAGAGAGAGAGAGAGAGAGAGAGAGAGAGAGAGAGAGAGAGAGAGAGAGAGAGAGAGAGAGAGAGAGAGAGAGAGAGAGAGAGATGTGAGGGTGGGTGGGAGGGAGGGAAGGAGGGAGAGGGAGAGGGAGAGATAGGGAAAGATGGAGAAAAAGCAAAAGCTGAGAGAAATGGAAACGGAATAACGAAAGAACGAGACGAGAGCGAGAGGAATGAACGGAAGGAAGGAACGTCAGAACTCAGAACGATCAGGATTTGGTGGGATTGGGAGTGAAGTATATGTCGGTAACTTGTGTTCGAATGTTTATTCCTGCGTGAAACTGGTGGCGTAAGATATGATAGAGTTCCTTTATCATCTCCCTCTTAATTTGTATTTCAGGTTCGCGAGGAGGCGGAGAGAGAGCAGGAGGCCCGGAAGGCCAAGGAGCGCGGTCGCCTGGAGCGCCAGAGGCTGATTGAGGAGCAGCAGAAGCGCAGTCACGACGAAGCCGAGGCCATGAAGAAGGCCGCCCGAGACCGCCGTCAGGGAGCCCAGGGCAGCGCGACCGTCAACGACTGGGGCAGCTGGGCGGCCGACGAGTGAGTGCGGCTGTGTTTATTTCATGCACAATTCTGATTACGACCTCTCCTACGACTTCTGATTTATAGCAGCTCACGGTGGGACGACACTGCATTATCTTGAATAATTATCATGTATCCAGGCGTATTTACTGCTGATAGAAAATTCTTCTCATTTATTCACCCCTGGCGACTTTCAATTGAGCCTGACATAAAACTCGCCCCGTGACTTCTATGTATCCGTGGTAAACAACATTCGGCTGTCACAGTCTAACCTTAACGTTCCCCATCCGTATCGCCTGTGTAGTCGCCCGGCAGGGAAGGCAGCGGCCCCTCCGGAGGAGGACCTGTGGCAGGCGCCAGCCGTTGAGGAGTCACCGCCAAGAGCTCCATCGCCACCGGCCGTCGAAAGGTAAGGACGTGGTTAGAGCTTAGGAAAAGAAATGGTCATTATTGCGTTCTATACATCCAATCAATACTGCCGTCCAAAGGCCAAACCGCATATGTCGGGTCAGGTCATGACCCGACATATGCGTTTTTGCCTTTGGACGGCAGAATAATGGACACATTTAAACGTTTCCTTAACCCTCGCCCGTATAGGGGGGGGGGGGGGTCGAACGGACCCTCCCATGGTTTTTCGCAAATAACTCACGTAAAAAGCGGCCGATCGCGACGAAACTTGCAGTACCCTCGCGTTCATCAATTTTACACCTACACCTACGAAGCTGTTAGAGGCGGTTGCCACCTACTACGAATACCCTTACTGGTTGACCTGACCTGACCTGACCCGACCTGGCCTAAATGCATGAAGACATCATCTGTGATCAAAACTAACATGATATTCGTGATCAGCACCCCGAAAAACCTCTTAGCAGCCACACTTTACGACGTTCTGACAGGTCCCGATTTTCCCGACTTTTGGGTCACTGACCTGACCTGCAATGTCAACCAATGACCTAGGACCTTAACCCGCGACCGCCTGGGGGGTCGGATCCGACCCCCCCTCCGTTTTTCTTGAATAACTCATGAACCACTTTCTCTATCTACTTGAAACTTGGCATACCTTCTCCCCCATCAATTTGACGTCTTCTGTGCAATTTTCAAGAAAAAAATTCAATTTTTTTTAGATATATCGATTTTAGTGATGTAACTACAGGGTGGACCAAAAAGGATGGAAACATTTTGAACTCGCATAAAACATGTATTATTGCATGCAGGTGAATGGGAATGATAGCAAACCAGAGTACATTTCGTGGAAATTCATTTATAGCATCATTCTCATCTGCTTTCTGTCGTCTTCAGTCTCTTAGAGCAGATGTTCAAAGTGACCACCTTCGCGAGACAGGCACAGAGCAGCCCGCTTGGCGACTGACGCGACAGCCCGACGGCACATGTCCACTGGTACGGCTCGCACAGCCTTCGTGATCTCTCTCTTCAGTTCACAGAGGCTTTCTGGACCTTCCTTGTAGACCTGGCCCTTGAGATGACCCCACAGGAAAAAATCCATAGGGGTCAGGTCGGGTGAGCAGGCAGGCCAGTTGCGACTGGCACCGCGGGATACCAGCCGGTCACCAAAGTGGTTTTCGATCCACTTCAGGGTTGCTTTGGCGGTGTGAGGAGGTGCGCCGTCTTGCTGCAACCACATCAGGTCCATGAGACTGCCATATTTCGTTTTGGCCTGCTTCCAGAAGTTCATAAGCACCGCTTGGTAGCGCTGCTGGTCGACGGTCACGGTGTCGCCGCTTCCATCCTCGAACCAAACTGGACCGACGATTCCTCTTCCGCTGAGGGCACACCCTACGGTGACCTTGCTGCTGTGCAGTGACTTCTCCTGTACCACGTCCGGTTTTTCGGTGCTCCAAAATCGGCTGTTTTGCGAGCTAACACTGCCATCCAGGTGAAAGTGGGCCTCATCAGAGAACCAGATGTTTTGTGCGAAGTCCGGATTTTTTGAGTCCTCGTCGGTAAGCCAGGCTGCGAAGGCCCGGCGTTCCATCATGTGCTTCTGCGACAGCTTCTGGCATGTCGTCACCTTGTATGGCTTCATTTTCAGATCCTTTTTAAGTATCCTGAGCAGTGAGGTTCTGCTGGTGCCCGCCTCTTGCGCGAGATGGCGAGAGGATTTTGAGGGTTGTTTGCGAACCAGATGTTTTACCTTCTCGATGTTTTCTGGGGTCCTTGTCGTCTTTTTCCTGCCACTTGATTTTCTACTTAGGTTTCCTAAGTCACCTTCTCTAACAAATTGCTCAGTTAGACGTAAAATGCTGTTATATGATGGTGCTTTTCGAGTCTTAAAATGGCTGCGAAACTTTCTTTGCGTTACAACTACCGATTTTGAATCCCAGTAAAATTGTACTATCTTAGCCTTCTCTTCCTTGCTGTACGGATTCATTGTCAGGACTGACTTTTTGCATGCCCAACAAAACTCCATAGAACATAGCACGTGCATGTCAAAAATCATGCAAATTGCTCCAGTAGTTTTTCCACAATGAAGAAGAAAAATGTTTCCATCCTTTTTGGTCCACCCTGTACATGGCATTTTTAGTCAAAAAGTGGTAAATGTTTAAAAAATCGCCAAAAATCAGGGTTTGAAGCAAATTGCAAATTAAGGACATGAAAAGACGCAGCTCAACGAGTTCTTTAAAATGGCTATCTCGGATTTTCCATAAAATGCGTTTTTCACCCCTAAAAATTCAAAAAACTATATTTTTTTGGAAAACAGCTAATAAAATCCAAAATTTTGGGAATTTCCAAAAAACCGGAATATATGTTGTAGAGCTCTATTAGAACATTAGATGCCCCAAATTTCAACTTTCTGTCTTGATTTTTGATCCCCAAATTGTAAAAAATAGCTCCAACATGCATAGGGCATGGTGACGTCATACGCATTTTCGTGAATTAGAGGCACTTCTGAACATCGTATGTGAAAACAAATGGCACCACTAGATTCCTGGGACAAAGGTCGTCTAGAAAAGTGCATTTTTATGTCAAAAATAAAAAGTTGAAAAATTGACTTTTTTCTTAGCCCTCGTTTAGTTATGTATGGCATAAACGAATTTGTATGCTTTCAATGCACACTTATCACCAGCACAGTGACTTGGGGTCACATATAACCATTACCATCGGATTCGGCGTGAAAAATAAGCCATAAAACATGTGTCGCACGCCCATGTAGCAGAAATTGAAAACCGTGACCTTTCGTGACCTAACCTGACCTTGACCCGTACTTAGTATGACCCCTATACGCACATGGTACCTTCACTAGGCCTTTGAGGTCATTTTTTGTGAGTTTCGAGCAGCAGCTATCGATTCCGCTGTCCGTAAGCCTAATCATGCAAAACCCCTGACTTTGACCTTTGACCTGACCTTGACCCGAAAGTTGACCTCAATCTTAAAATCTTAAGAGTGCTTTGGGAAGGTCTCGTAGAGACCTTTCGAACGCCGCCTCGCGGGGCTCGATACGACCATTGGTTCTCGAGATAACAGGGGGGGGGGTCGGATCCGACCCCCCAGGCTGTCGTGGGTACGGAAAGAGCCCAGGCGGTGCCGGGTTAAAATTGGGTATCATCGGCTTCCTCTCGTCACGGGCAACACGCTCGTTTTTTCCGCGAAGCTCTAGCTCGATCAGGGGCGAAACAGCAGGGGGGGGGGGGTCCAACGGACCCTCCCCCCCCCCTTATACGTTCGCGGCTGGAAAAACACCAATACGGGCGAGGGTTAATATGTAAAGTCATAGACCTCTGTATACCGGTATACAGAGGTCTATGGTAAAGTTAATGTCACACTTCTTGTGTGCTTTTCATTATTGCCAATTGGAATTGAATTACATATAGTCCATTCATTCCTCGGTGCATTATTTATTTCGGCCATTCAGTCTCTTCATGTTTCATTGATAAGGTCTTCTAAAAAAATTCATTGAAAAAGGAATAAGGAAAGCATGTAGCAACATTGTGGGTAGATTTGAATAGATTACTCCCGTCACGCGGAATGGAAGATTGTACCGCAGCACACGCGCGCCTGATAGATAGACTGTACCGTAATACACGCGCGCCTGACCGGTAGGCTATACCGCAATACACGTGCGCCTGATCGGTAGACTGTACCGCAATGCACGCGCGCCTGATCGGTAGACTGCCGCAATAGACGCGTGCCTGATCGATAGACTGTGCCGCAATACACGCGCACCTGATCGATAGACTGTGCCGCAATACACGCGCGCCTGATCGATAGACTGTGCCGCAATACACGCGCGCCTGATCGATAGACTGTGCCGCAATACACGCGCGCCTGATCGATAGACTGTGCCGCAATACACGCGCGCCTGATCGATAAACTGTGCCGCAATACACGCGCGCCTGATAGATAGACTGTGCCGCAACACACAATACACGCGCCTAATAGGGGCCGGCCATAAATTACGTTACGCATTAGGGGGAGAGGGCCGGAGGGGGGGTCGAACGAGCGTAACGATAGCGTAACAGGGGGAGGGGGAGGGGTAAACCATAACTTTACAGAGCACCGCTTAAACCTAATGATTGACGCAGGCGAATAAATCAATTTCTACGCAAATTTACCGGAGAGCTGTAAACTGTGCCCTAGTAATGTGAACTGAGGCCTCTTGCACCAAACTACCTAGCTAGGTAAAATCGAAAAACCGGTTTCAGAATAAGCTAATCTAACGGTGGTAAATTTATTTGCAATAGCCCAATACATAATCCTGCATGTGCTTGCTAAATTTTGCACGCAAATTGTTACATTTGAGACTTGGACTGGGTATACGATGCAAAATAATCCAAGCATTGGTGCAAGAGGATTTTGGTGCAAGAGGCCTCTGAACACCAGCATGAAGCCAAGTCTAAATTAGTGGTCACTATCAATTTTACTAGGAAGCACTGTCGTTTCTGCGACATAACAGACCCAGACCGCAAATAGCGTGAACTGCTCAGTAAATGAGCAGTATGGTCGGTTTCGAAGTTTTTCACGTTACAGTTTTCATTAGCGTAACAGGGGGGGGGGTAGCGTAATTTCAGCGTAACAGGGGGGAGGGGGCTCAAGAATTAGCCAAAAAGCGTGACGAAATTCATGGACGGCTCCTCGGTAGGCTGTGCCGCAATACACGCGCGCCTGCTCGGTAGGCCGTGCCCTAGTACACGTTCACGCGATTATAGTAGATTGGGCATGGTAAACGCTCGTGGGCGTCCGTGGACTGCACCTTACTATGTCACTTCACAGATTATGTGCGGTCGGGTTTGCAGCACGTAATAAGGGGCGCAATCTCTGTTGTGCATCATTTGAGTTTTGACGACTGGCGTTGAGATGGGTGTGCGACATAATTCATTCGTTCATATAAGAGTGAATTCCCATTTGTTTTTAACCGCAGCAGGTAATAATCACCCCAAGTTACGTGCCTACAATTCGACTTTTTCGAGTTTATTGACTTGTTTATCTTCACGCAGCAAACCGGATACTCCTCCTCCAGGTAAGAACATGACCGACAGAGCATAAATATTCACCCGTCCTGTCTGTACCGATCTCAACTTGTCCTAACGCCCGTCTGTTCCTCGTTTCTCCCAGGCCCGACCAGTCTCCCGGTCCTTCACGCGCAGACAAACACGTGTCGTCTCCCGTCTCTGCGTCTGGCCAGCAGATTCCGTCCTCTTCAGCATCCCGACACACTGCATCTGCAACACCTTCAAAATCTCCTCCGATTCCCACTCTGTGTCGAAGCTCTCCGGCACATAAGAATGCGGGAGGGAGGGCAATACATACTCCGAAATCACCTCGTGTGTCTGCTCCAAAACGGCACGTCCCACCGTCAGAACCGCCCAGGAGCGGACCGTCGGATGTGCCTTCAAAGTCGCCTCCGATTCCTACCCTGTGCAACAGCAGTCCTTCAAAACCACCCGCGCATGGACCGCCTCCGAAATCTCCACCGATCCCAACTTTGGTCCATCGAGCTTCAGTGCCTCAACAGCCGAGAAGTGACCGGGTGAATCCGCACCCCTCCGTCTGCCGCCTGTCTCCGCCCCTGCCGGCGCAGGCCCGGGGTGCATTTGACCCGCGGGAGGTCACGGCCGGGCCCTATGACGTGCCACCGCCTTCGCGACCCGTACCCCGACAACGCTCACTGTTGACCGCGCGACCCAATAGGTCACCGACCCCGCACCGATCTGGGTCACGAGCTCAGGAGCATGAATCACGTCCTCCGAACAGTGACGCACACTGCGAGCTGACCCCGCGGAGTGACCACCTCAGGTCACTGACCCCGGCTAGTGCACGTCACAGGTCACTGACGCCCATCACAGGCAGGACGAGGTCACTGACCCCTGAGATCACGGGTCAAGGTCACAGGTCACTGACTCCTGCGGGTGATTGGCATGAACCTCCAGTGATAGCAAACGGCTATAATGGATCGCATGAATCAGTTCAAACCCATGACTTCTTGACCAGTCGACGACCCAGAGTCCTTCCTCCTATTGCGGAGAGCATGAATAGTGCACGGGAAGAAAGTCAAAGCAGACAAGTCGAAGAGAGGTTGAGCAGGCCAAAGACGCGCTGCATCTCTGACCGTAGAGAAGTTGTCCCAACAGGGCCGCCAGAACCCTGTGCCGATGCTTCGCCTGTCAGGAAGGTGCGATTATCTTCTGGCCACCTCGATCACCAGGATCAAGGGAAATATCCTGATAAAAAGAATGCGAGCGAAATTCGTTCGAAAGAAGTGCATTCAATGCCACATCACAGATCAGAAGAACAGGAATCAGCAGGGTGTTCAGAGAGTCAATCAAATGCAAACGTCCGCCGTTCAAGGAAGTTGCAAGTGGATACAAAGTCTGCCACGAAATCGCATATCTCTAGAGTGACATCCAAGCGCGGGAAATGGGATCCCGACAGTGACTTTAGCGTAGTTCACAAAAGGGCTGAAGGATCCCCAGAAAAGAGGCTTTCACCAAGGAAAGAAGAACGAAAGACACTGGAAGTCCCCGCCGTCCAAGCAGCTCGAGCGTCTCCCGTTAGTCCTCACTTCGGGAGACATGCCCTACCACCGATCAAACCGAGCTCCCAGAGGGCTTTGTTCCACCAACCACCTCACGAACCTTCTCCCTTCCACCACGAGCCGAAGACGACTACCCAGGCACCCCATCACACTGAGAAAGTCTCAACCCCCGTGCGAGGTAACAGATCAGAGAGGTCGCACATCCCAGTCAGCACCAGAAGACTGTCTGGATCGATGAGCACCCATCCGCTATCACCACGAGGCGCCTCGGCAGCACCGGGGTCAGGTCATGTCGCAGAGGTCACGGAAGGTACGCCGCCACGGGTCACCGCCAGACGGCGCTGGCAGCGGCCGGACACGGACCACTCTCCAGAAGAGACGGTTGTGGGGAAGCAGAGTCGCCAACCACCGCCCATCACCCCCAGGAAGAGTCTGTCCATCAGTCTGAGAAGCGAGACTGAGACAGTGCTGGTCGGATTGCGAGAAGAGGGGATCCCGTGCGTTTCTTCCGGGGACGAGCTCGAAGACACCGATAAGGATGGCGCGAGAGAAAGGGAGGATAAAGTGGGATCGCGGGCCTCAAGCACGGAGGACGAAGTTCACGAAGAAAACGTCAATATGGACACCAAGATCGAACAGCAGAGGCTTCCTTCTGCAGAACAGCCGCATCAAGAGCAAACCAGTCCGTTTAGCTCCACTTCATCATCCTCTACAGTCACCCCTACCTCTTCACCAGTCCACTCTCCTGACCCCGTCCTCTGCTCCCTCACCCCAGAGCCAGTGACATCTCCACGACCCCAGCCAATCGAGCGCCAATCCCTGGTGTCCTCGGGTCACCAGAGGTCACCAGTGCCTACCCCACGGCTTTCGCGCGGGGACCTGCGTCTCAGCCGCTCGAACCGACCGGCGCTGAGGCGACTTCAGTTGATGCGGAGGACACTGGAGAGGGAGCACGACGCGCTCAGCAGCACTCTAGCGCGGGAGGAGACGGCGATCACCGGCCGGCCAACCCCTGGTGCGTGACCGAAACAAACGGGTGGTGTTGTGGGAACATTTAAGGTGGGTAAGGAACGATAACACTATGCAACAGTCATTTTGTTCCTGAGTAACGACCGATTTTTTTGGACTCATTGGGTCCCATTATAACCGAAATGGGCATTTGTTTTGATCTGAAAATGCTTTTCCGGTTTTCAGAGACGATTTTCGATTTTTGGCCCCGAAATTCGGTTTTTGGCCCACTGTTTTCGGTGTAATTGAGTAATCGACTCGCGGTAACTTTCATCGCCCTTCCTATGCCACAAGCTTTCGAATGATATCCGGTTTTGCATATTTGCGTGTAAAAATAACGTCATAAATCTATGTTAAAGTAAGAAAATATTGAAATTTTGTAAAAATTTGACATTTTTTTCGATTTCATTTCAAAATAGAGAAAAAACTAAAGGCCCTATCCAAATTCTGAGCCCAGTTCCTTGAAGAGCATTCAATTTCCGTTCGGAAGGTACTATTTTAGTGCATTTTATCGGTTTACTGTGGCGTCCAGATTGAGTCACTTGAAAAACGGGCCCCCAACAGATCAAGATTCTGAGCGACAGGACTGCTCAAAAGTAAGTTCCTGCGTGTGACCCGAGGTCACAAGGGGTCAACAAAATGACCTCAGTTGACCCCTCGTTGATCCTATGGCGTTAACATACGTTATCAGGTTAATGCTATGTGATATGACTTAGGATATGTGTTTAGGTTAACTCAATCTGGACGCCACAGGAATCCGATAAAATGCACTAAAAAGGTACCTTCCGAACGGAAATTGAATGCTCTTCAAGGAACTGGGCTCAAAATTTGGATGGGGCCTTTAGTTTTTCCTCTATTTTGAAATGAAATCGAAAAAAATGTCAAATTTTTACAAAATTTCAACATTTTCTTACTTTAACATAGATTTATGACGTTATTTTTGCACGCAAATATGCAAAACCAGATATCATTCGAAAGCTTATGGCATAGGAAAGGCGATGAAGGTTACCGCGAGTCGATTACTCAATTACATCGGACACGGTGAGCCAAAAACCGAATTTCGGGGCCAAAAATCGAAAATCGTCTCTGAAAACCGGAAAAGCATTTTCAGATCAAAACTAATGCCCATTTCGGTTATAATAGGACCCAATGAATAAGAAAAGTTCGGTCGCTTTCCAGGAACAGAAATTTTTCATTTTTTGTTGCATAGTGTAATGGGGCAGAAGGCAGTAAGCCTTGAAGTTCACTTGCCCCTATTTGAAAGCAAAGTAGCGAAATTTTGTTCGAGCATTCGATGTTTTTATTTATTTCATTCAGATGTTTTTCTTCAGTCGCTTTCAGTTTCCTCTCCGACCGTCCCCGTCATCATCCTTCGTTCCTCTCCGCTCCAGAAACCAGTAGCATTTCTCAGTCACCCTCACCGTCACCGACTGAGGAGCAAAACGACCAGCTTCTCGACCATCTGGAGACGCAGATAACGCTCGGGAGGAGTTGGATGGCCCTCGCCCCAGACGCTGAGCCGGCAGGTAGTCGGTGAAACGGTGGAGTCAGCAGTCCCCGTAATGGTGATGAACGTTTCATTCCTCTCGTACCTATTGTGTCGTGTAATATGTTAGACGAGCCAACAGGCAGCGAAGCCAGTAGGGAGGTCACCAACGAGCCCTATTGGGACTGGAACGGTTGGGGACGCAGCGTTACAATTCACATGTTTGTGGTTATTTAAGTGATACAATATTGACCAAGACGTGCACAAGGTACTGTCATATGACGCACCGCCGCTCCCTCCCGCAGAGATCCACCCATCGCAGGACACCTCGGATCTGAAGATCGGCTTCCGCTGGGACCGGCCACAGACGGAGCGGCCCGAGATGCGACTCGACTCACCACAACTGGACGACCTCGCCAAGAGAAACCGCGACCGGCAGAGGCGACTCGAGGAGCGTAAAAAGGCGGGGCAGTGAGAGGGATATATACCGGCAGAGGCGATTCGAGGAGCGCCAAAGGCGGGGCAGTGAGCCGATCGGGGAGTCGCCAAGGATAGGCACAGCTAGAGAGATGTCTTTAAAACCACCCGTTACCGTCCCTGTTGTTGCACTGTGCTGTGTGTTCACACGCGTGACATGTTTCTGATTCTGTTGTATCCATCAACTCGCTTGTGACTGAGAATATATACTAGAAGGCCATAACTATAATCGCGTCAAAAAGCGGATGAGCCATCCTCTGCTCAAAGGACCAAGCATACTTCCAATCCATTCATTCAAAACCATCTCCTATCCCCAACTCAGCATGGATTTCGTCATCGTCACTCGACTGAAACCGCGCTGATATCCATCACCGACCAAATCCTATCATCCAACGACCACGGCGACCTCTCCCTTCTCTGCCTGCTGGACTTGAGCAAATGCTTTGATGTGATAGACCATCAAAAACTTCTCACTAAACTACAACTTCACGGAGTAGAAACGACATGGTTTTCGGCCTACCTTCAAAATCATACCCAGAGCGTCTGCTTCACAGACAATCTGGGTAACATCAAAAAGTCATCTCCTCTTCCCAACAACATCGGCGTCTTCCAAGGTTCTGCTCTCGGCCCTCTGCTCTACTGCGTCTTCGCGAACGACTTATCCTTGTTCACCGGAGACGCAGTGGTAGCACAGTACGCCGATGACACACAAATTCTGGTCTCTGGCAAAAAATCTGACATGCAAAGCGTGGTCAGGAAGATGGAAGCAGTGCTGACTTCCATCGACCTTTGGTTCCAGGCCAACGGCCTCAAAGTTAACGCAGGAAAAACTCAGCTGATGTTGTTGGGAAGCTCTCAAAATCTGCGCAACGTTCCCGGCCTCTCTGTCAAATTCCGCGATCATGATTTACTCCCTGTCTCGGAAGTTAGAAATCTCGGTTTAACATTCGATAGCACGCTCAGCTGGACTAGTCACATTTCTTCTCTCACAAACCGCTGTTTCGGAACCCTTCATGGTCTATCACATCTAAGGAACCACCTCCCACCATCGGCTGTCACCGTCATCGTCCAAGCCCTCGTTCTCTCGCAGGTCCGATACTGCATCTCAGTATACGGCAACTGCACGCAGACAAACCTCTCTCGGCTCCAAAAAATAATTAACTATGCTGCAAAGGTGATTTTCGGCCGCAAAAAGTACGACCATGTATCGGACCTGCTGGATAACTTGGGCTGGCTCAGCGCTGAGCAGCTTGCTCAGTATCACTCTCTGTGCCTGCTGCACAAGGTGCGGCGATCAGGCGAGCCAGAAACCCTGGCTGCCCAGCTGGTGCAGGTATCGCAGACGCGGCAGCGATCCACCAGACAGGACCGCAATCTGTCAGTCCCACGATCGCGGACAGCGATGGGGCAGCGCCGGTTCTGCTGCCGGGCGCCCCTCGCCTACAACCAGCTCCCGTCAGAACTGACGCGTCTACCGGCCCACCTATTTGGTCGGCACCTCCAATCCCACCTACGGGGAGGCGAGGTGACTTAGACAGCGGCCATGAGTCTGTATGAGTGCATGTGTATGTTTGTTTGTGTGTACGGGCTTTGAGCGTATTTATCACGTTATTTTATGTTATGTCTCCCATGCAGAGTTTTAGCCCTGTACGAGCGGCCGTAATAGCCACGAGTGTATCGTGGATGGCTTCAATACACGTCTATGTCTATGTCTATGTCTATTCTTGCCTATACCCGTTTTTTTTTCGAAATTCGTGCAAGGCAAAACATCGTAACATCTGGAAATATTCGACGTACAGTTAACTTAAAAGTTAAAACGAATTAATCGTTGTACGAAATCTGTTCATGTTTCCACGAAGTTCAAAGCAGGCACTATTACACGACTGACAAAACGAATGAGTCTTGCTCACGAAGCTGCCACTTATCACGAGCATATCACGAAGAAAACACCATCGCGGTCTACCGCACCATGAAACGCACATCACGCTACTGATTTGAACTGTTTATTGTAGAAAATATAGCCTCGCTCTCAGGCGTTAAACGAGGAACGTGAGCTGATCGGGCGCGCAGGTCGGCACCTCATTCACAGTCAGGCACGCACAACAGAGTCCGTGGTAGCCTGCACGAACCACTTACACCGGCGCTAGTTGAACACGAAGTTCGGTCCGAGCCAATCACAGGAAACGCTGGACGCGTCGCTCGCTGGAGCAGCGCACAGTCCATCCGTCCGGAAATGCTTGAACATTGCTCGACATACGCTCGAACCATGCTTAACAACCAGCGAGACGCATTCGGTACGTAACTGACAGTATGCAACTCATGCTCGAACCATGTTTGTAGCCCTTGCAAACAACGATCGACTCGAGAACTAGCAGGAACAACAAATGAACCACACTGGAACCATGCTCGAACAACACTTTCAGTGGTCTTCAATCCTCATCAGGCGCCCAGCACTCGACATCAACCACTCTCGAGCCTTCAGTGGTCCTCAATCCATTCACGTTAGGCACAACTGCAATTGTCACACGTGAACTCCGCTGGCGATTCACCGCGCTGGTTTCACATGTCCTGCCGACTCAGTGGTTCTCAAACCACCCGCCGCTCCGCTCTGCGGCGCTCAGGGGCCCTCAAACCAGTCTGACGAGCCTGTTCCGTCCCTTTTACGGCGACCCCGCGCCCAGTATGGTCCTTACGAGATCCATGACGTTACGCTCACTGAACGGCCCCGCGGCTCCCACGTGGTAACTCGCCGAGCTCAGCTGCGCTCACGAGCTCACCGTGAGCCATACACAGCTCACGAGCTCAGCCGCGATGAGCCCCACCGGCGACCGCCTCGACCGGTGTTTACAACACACCGGGCTGCCGGTTTCGGCCGCCGGAACGTCTCCTATCACCGTCAGTTCATCACTCCGTCCGCTGCCTCTTCTCTGGCGGCGCTCCTTCCGGCTCTGGCCGCGCGGCGGCGCTAGCGTCGTCGCCTGCCGCCTTCGACGCCGCCTCTGCGGGAGCGTCAGCCTCACTGTCCTTCGTCTCCGCGGTTTCTGCCGCCTTCCCGTCAGTCTTTGTGTCCTCTGAGGTATCCTCGACGACTGGAGGTGACTGCACCATCGCCAGGCTGGGCAGGAAGCGGACGATGATGCAGGTCATGTTGTCACAGCCGGTGCCGTCTCCCATCGTGTTCGGCGCCAGACACTCGTCAAAGAGCTGCGCAGAAAAGGTCGGACGTGGGTTAGATGGTTGCCAGTCTTGAGTAGCAAGTAAGACAAGCGTGAAACGAAGTAGCGCAAGCGAGTGAGATAGGAAATAGAAACAAGTCAGCTGTGGTGTATTATTAATGAATAGCTATGATTGCTTTTCGGCTCCGTTCGAATCCAGGCCATGTAAATTGCCCCAGGGACCTATGGGTGGTCCTGGTCCCAAGAGCCCCTATGACCGCCAGACGCACAGCAATTACAAATAGCTTCATGCGTTCAATATTTACGGATAGACGGAACATATCAACGGATGGACTCACGTTAGCAACCGATGCAAGACGGCTTCCTGTACTTCAACGCAAAACAACAAAGCAAACGAAAAAAAAAAACAGACCATGCAATGATCCGTTTCGTAAAAAAAATAACGCCATAAAAATAGTGACAAAATTATGAATGCCAAATAGTGATGAGCAATATCACTCATTCAAAAAAAAAAAAAAACGTACCAAGTAAAACACCAACTGAAGCATTGCTCGGCCGCTAAAACCTTCGCTCTCTAAAAACGACTATAGCTATTCCCGACCAAACTCCCTATGCCATGACACCTTCCCTCTCCCTTCATGCTCACCTCCTCGCAGATTTTCGACAGCTGGGTCTCGCCTCGCTCCCTGATCCTCTCGGAGACAAAGTCGACCACCTCCTGGGACTTTTTACTGTTCCAGATACCGTCACAGGCGAGCACCATGAACTCATCAGTGCCCGGCTCGATTGTAACACAGCGGATGTCGGGACAGGCGGAGATCATCTGTTCCTCGGCTGGCAGGTTCTTGTCGGCCTTGTACGCGTGGTCGCCTGTAGTGAAAACAGGGAAGGGGTTGAAGTGTGTTGGAGGTGTCGACGGCAGTGATGGCCAGTAACAGCACGCTTGAGTGACATGCCAGAATAAACTGAGCGTTGAACGTGGCGCACCGTAAGTCTGATCAACGGCAGCAGGCAAAACCAGCGCCAATTCCTGCATTCCTTTCGTTCAAAGAAAGGTAGTTTTAATCCCGTACAGTGCACCAAGCGATCCCGTGGCTCAAGCACAAACAACACCCCCCCCCCCCTCTCGTTCACAACGCCTTTCTAACTATACATTCAACATCAGGCAGAAACTCGAAACATTTAACCGTTCAACCCCCACCACCTACAGACACCCTCTTCCCTCCCAACCACTCACCAAACGCTCTGGAGAGGTTGAGTCCGCCGTTGACCCTGCCGTCCATGGTGACCTTTCCACCGGCCTTGACAATCCTCTGCAGTTCGGGTTCATCCTCCGGTTTGTGGTCGTCGGACATGTCGACGGCCCGGCCGGAGCGGGATAGCACGCAGCGCGAGTCGCCAATGTTGGCCACGTACAGCTGCCGGCCGTGAAGGAGGGCCACCACGGCGGTACAGCCCGAGTCGCTGCCCGGCTGAGGGGAAGATGGAGGGTGTCACAATCCACAGGTGACCACGGTCCTACATAGAGCCAGAGTCGCTGCCGAGCTGGGGAGAGGAGCATCAGAAAACGGACCTCAAATACAGCACGAGTCGCTGCCAGGCTGGGGAGGGAAGGGAAATCTGTGAAACAGGGCGACAGCAGTGGACCTACACATTTCATTGACCTATCCGACATATGACATTTTGCAGCACGACAGTTTAAGCGATAATTTCAAAAGCACGCGTCAGAGACGCAAGCCTTGACCGCAAGTGACCAAACCAGCAGAGTCCCAATTTCAATGTTCGTGCTACGATGCCAGGTTTCACTTTATTCCACTCCAAACCTCCACCCCACGGCGCCCTACCTCGTCCTTCATGTTGAACATGAAGTCGCTGTCCTCGTCGTCTCCTGCCTCCTCCTCGTCCCCCAGTTCGTCGTCGTCCTGTTCACTGTCCTCTTCCTCCTCCTCCTCCTCTTCCTCTCCTTCGTCCTCGTCCGAGTCGTCATCTTCGGCGTCATTGTCGTCATCCACGCTGTCACTGGGGGAGGAAGGGCGAGCGGTCTTAAAGACAGTCGCGAGTGGTTACGAGTGATTCTGCTTGCTGGTGTAGTCACCAAGGTGACCGTTACGAGTTGTAATACGAAAAAAAAAAACGAGCTGTAATACGGGTGAATAAGAGAGTTCCCGTTCTCAATGCATGATTTCTGCGTTAAACTGAATGAGCGAGATATCGCATCACCTTTCCCTTCAAGAATAATTTCGGCCAAACAAGCAGTATACTCAAGCAGGACGTATGCAAGTTAGGTGCGCGTTATCACAACATCTCGATCGCAAATTGACACCAGCATATTGCCACCGATCTAAATTAATCTGGCCATCCCCTAATGCACACCGAGTCACCCACCTCTGCTCCAGACTGAAGTCGTCATCTTCCTCCTCCTCTTCCTCCTCGTCTTCGACGTGGTCGTGTCCGGCCTCTCGCGCTTTTCTCGCGCCCTCCAGAACATCCCGGTACACCTCTGCGGCCGCCCGCTCCGGCATCTTCCGCGTGGCGCGCCCGGCGGCCGGCCGCGCGCTTTGCGCCGCCACAGTGCCCGCCGGCGCCGGCGACTTGCCGCTGCCAGGCCGCGCGCCCTTACCGCCCTTACCCCGCGGGGACTTGGTGGGAGAGGCGGTACCGTTACCATTACAGGCTGGCGTGTCGCCACTGCCAGCCTTGGAGTCCTCGGTTGAAGGCGATCCGGGCGCGGCAGAGGTCACGGCTGGCTCGCCGCCCGCAGCCGTTCCGTTCGTCTTCGACTCGGATTTAGAGTCAGAGTCTGATTCTGACTTGACTGTGGATTCCGCTTTGATGTCGGCTTTGACGGGTGACTTGGAATTTGCTTCTGACTTGATGATCTCAGAGTTTGACTCCGAGTTTGATTCAGTCGTAATGGTGTCCGATTTTACTTCAGCCTCAGGCTCTGGTTTGACTTCGGCTTTCGTCTCTGGCGCTGCGGTATCTTTGCTAGTCTCTGACTTTGCTTCCTCACTGGTCTCATCCTTGATTTCTGCTGTCAAGTCTTTCTTCACATCTCCGTCTTCACCGGAGCTGGAGCTAGAGCCACCGGCACCAGACGACGAACTGCCTGAAAATGAGCACAACTGTCACAATCGGGAAATGAGCGACATAAGTCGCACTCGCAGAGAAACAGACAATAGCTGGCAAAATGAGTCCATGCACATTGCAAATTCCGCGAAATTGGCCTTCAAACGACTATCATGTTTACCATCACGATTTATATCATTTATATCGTGTTTATCAGCGAATGTAGCATGATTTAACTGAGACATTCCCCCAAATCGACAGCCCAGAATCGCTCGACTGACCTGCGCCCGAGCCGCCCGCCTTGGCGCGGAGGAAGGGCGACAGCGGCTTCTCCTTGCCCTTGCCCTTGAGCTTGGCGACGCCGCCGGCGGCTGCTGCGGGTTTGTCTCCCTGGTAGCGGGCCATCAGCTCCTCGAGCGGCATATGCGCCTCCTGAAATAACTCGTCCACCTCGCGGTCCGTCTCCTCCTCGTCCTCTGGGGAATGGAGGGGATATGACGGTTAGGAGGACAAACAGTGCCAACTAGTCCCGGGGAGAGCGAGATAATTATAAAAGCTTGTGGGACAGTGCTACAAAGAAGTACCGATCACCAGTTTAAATTTTCAAAACTTGACGAAACTTTGTGACAAGGAACTCAACAAACCATGAAAACGCACGAGTATCTTTGAAAATTACAACAGAACCTAGTCCCAAATCTTAAAACAAATGCCTTAAAAGTGACCGAACACCAAATTATAGCTAAAATCTACCCACGCAACAGTCCATCCTATTCCCAGAAACCCTCCACTCTTCCAACACCCACCTGACTCGACCTCCCGTCCAGCGATGACCTTCAGTTTGTCGATGATCTCCGGCCTCGTCAGCGAGCTGTCGAACTCGAGGAACGCGCGGCGCAGACTCTCCCGCACCTTGCCCGCCTTGTACAGGGGACAGTCACGGATGGCGGCGGGTAGTGTCTGGGCGGCGTACGTGGCCACCTCGTGACCTCCGTGACCGTCGTACACGGCGAACAGGGCACACCCGGGCGCCAGCTCCGGTAGGCTGTTGTGCGCGTCCTGCGGAGATCGGGTGGAGAGAAAAGGTTACGGTGGTTGAGGATTGATTAGCATTCAGGCCCGTGAGCTATCAACATAACTGAGGCCAGTTTTACCAACAGAAAAAGCTGCCTGCCGGATTTTTTTTTGCCTAAAGAACGCTTCACATATGGAGCATAAACGCGGTGGGCATGTAAGCGGATAGGGCTTTCCTGCTTACGCTTAGTATGTGAAGCGGTCTTTGGGCAAAAAATTCCGGCAGGTGGCTATTTTTCTGTTGGTAAAACTGACCTCTGATATAGAAAAAAAAATCGAATATCACTGATGTATTTATTCTACACACCATTCGTAGCCGAGAATGGATCGGTGAGTTCCACCCAGAGGCAGAGAACTCATAACTCTCACCTCCTGGGAGACACGCCATCCCTGCATGGACGAGTCGCCATAGCTGAGGTACTCGCTGCTGCCGTCAGACGACACCTTCTTGGTGCAGGGCTGGCTGAGGTATGCTCCCATGACTGGTGGCCCTGTTGGACGAAAAACAGTGTCATATGATGCTGAGAATTGAGATCAAGATGCACACATGCACTGAATAATATGTCTCTCATTACACTTCTTTAAAAGGTATCTAATGCACCCATGTCAGGATGTATCTGCAAAAGCATGGCAAAGTATGTTCACATACTGTGTATATCTATGTCAACAAGTGTCTTGTAATGCGGACTGTACGGTCGCTCAGCTGGTGCTCACTACCCACGAGGTGCAGTCAGCAGTGTGTAGCAGCCCTGTGGTTTGGTGCAGGTTACTGTGAGAAACTACATGGCTGGCACAGCACCACACAAAATATAGTGCATCAAATTAATGGAGCCTGTCCCATGCAATCGATGAGTGTAGCTTGGACTCTGCATCAAGAGCCATGCATGCTTAATGTGTATGAGAACTTTCCAGTATACCCAAGTGAGCCGTTTGTCCTCCACAAATGCATTGGAGGCTGGTTGATGTGCCACTCATTATTCATGGTTCAAAGTTGTTTAGGAAAAATGAGTACCTAGCAAAACAGTTTGATGAAATATTTTTGAACCACAAGTGATCCACGCACTGAACTCTGGGAATACATGTATATCAGATTTGGCATTTATTTGTTAAGCTTTGGTGCCTACTGTCTACTCTTCTTAAAAAGCATAATGCAACATGAATATATTTCTTAGTTTCCCTTAGAGCATTCTACTTGGTTCAGTGGACTGTCTGGTTTAGTGGCCTTTTAAAGGGCTGATTCCTAATCAAGCTTGTCCACATTTAAGACCTTGTTAGAAAGGCTGTTACAGCATTGAAGCTGGTGCAGCTTCTGTGATGCCTCCTGTTTGGTTTGATGACCATGCATTTGAGCTGCATCCAACCAATTTGAACTCTTAAACTTATCCAGTTCATTCAACCTGTTTGAACTTTAAACTTATTGCATTCATGGAGCTTGTAAGAACCTGACATGCACAAATGGTGCAGTTCACACACTAGACTTATAATTTTCATATAGCAAAAGGCAAAGACAAAATAAAGGAATATTTAATAATTCTGAGGGTTTAGCTTAAGATCATTGGTAAGGACAAGGAAAAAAGCATGTCTTTTTAATGTCTGCTTTGTACTTATATTTTAACAAAAAGAAAAAGAAGACCACAGCAAAATAGGGTTTGGGCTATCAGACCAATATATTTTCTTGCTAATCTAATGCACTGCAATGTCCCAAAAAGCATAATAAGGCAGTCTGAATAATAAATGTACCAGGTAATTCCCATTTCTATATAGTGCATGGCACGCAACTCAAACTAGAAAGTGAAATAGCCATGCTTGATATGGAATTTTATTGGCTGTTGTTGAAGAGTTAGGGCACGCAGCAGCTTGGCTCAAGCGTCCAACAAATTTTACTGGCTGTATACAGGCCAATGGACTTTCACTGGACTAACCCTGACCCTGACCCTGAGTACCTTGGCCCTTGAGGCTCAAAATACCCTTAGTATCTGAAAAGTGTGCACTTCTTATGCCCTAGGAGTGACCATGGAACTCGCAAAAACCAGAGGAGTGTTCACGGGCACCACACACTGCTGCGTGAGGTGTGTGCAGTGCGTCCAGCAGGCGTGGGGGAAGGGGACCGGGGATGGGTAGGCAGTTCTGATGTCATGGCTGCATGCGGTGGACTGTCCACTGTGGCCAGTCTCGACCTGCCACAGCGATCACTGTGTACGGTGACGGAAGGCTGACGTAGGGACAATGTGGGCGGAGCTTCGAGGGCCCGTGAACAGCCCTCAGGAACCGCACGTCGTAACTCACAAGGATGACAACATTCTTTAAATAGTCCCGGGCACTAAATCTGAGTATGACTACCATAGCACTATAGAAGGGTATGCTGATTCACAATATTACAATACCAAAAAAGAAAAACAAGCAAATAATTATTTCATACAACACCACAATTATTGGATGTTTCCACTTCACTTGAAACGACATCCCAGCCGGCGCGACGCAGCCTCGCCGATTTCCAAGTGTCCTTTTTGGACCTAGAATCCTAAACCAGATCAGTAGGTGGAACTATGGTCATGAGTACCCAAATATAGGAACGTTCCCATTTTTGGGAACGGAGTTCCCAAATATGGGAACGGGCGTTCCCATTTATGAGAACGGAAGGTAATTTTTCGGCCGTTCGCCCACTAAAACTCATTAGTGCATCACGTCTCAAAAAAGTGCACGCTAATTTAAGTATCTACTAAATCTCTATAAAATTATCTTTAATCTGACCGTTGAACAAGGAAATTGACCGTCGAATGATATTTTTAATGATTTTTTTTTTAATGACGGAATGGTGAAAACATGGGTTATACTACATTTAACATGCAATTTAAAGGAAAATGAAGCGTTTTTTACATTTTGAGGTCAAGTATAAGAATTTTCGCCTGGTTATGAAGTTTCATACTAGCGACACCAGATGCTGACATATGCAAGCGAACACGCGGACAGTCCCGAGGTAATATTGTTGACTTTTGGTCTCGGGGCGCACGACCGCGTGGAACGTCAGTGATTTTACCGAACTACTGTTGTAAACTCAGTTTCAGTGGTTTAAAATTATTCAGCTGTATTTTATCAGCCCGGAAAGACATTTTATTTGGATGCTAGCTGTTTAGCATTGTTTTATAAGGAGCGTCATGAGCGTGGTTTTTGTCTTCCGTGTTTCTAAGCATGATCGTTTTGGGGGAATTTCTCTTATATAGGTCGCTCTGTGTGGCTTATTTATAATTTTTATGCTGATTTCGATCATTCCTCGTGCCCATCCTACCAGGCCTTTTGCCACTTACACTCATTAAGAAAGGAAAAAACTAGATTTTCCATGGGACTAGGTGTTTTGAGGGTGTAACATATTCAGCGTTCCCATTTTTGGATACTTCCTTGTGCTCGTCAACTATCGGTGATAAGCAGACAGGTGCTTGACATGTCTCCACCCTCGGCGCGGACGGTGGATATAGGTATGGAAGACCTTGTTGAACATCGCTGAGCGTTGTGAATTACGTAATCCTGCAGAGGGGGGCGTGCCCGCTGCGAGATCGACGGGAATAAAAGCGCAGAAGACCGGGCGAAACATGCGACGGTCTTGCCGGAAAGGTCATCTGATGATTGTTGCTTAACAATAATTTGCGGCGTTGGACATGATGCTTGTTAATGAAAAGAGCCCCTGAAAGGCGTCGGTGAAATCGTTCCCAATTTTGGGTACGCCGTTCCCATAATAAGGAACGCTTGCAGCGCCAGTGTACGAGAGCGTTCCCAAATTTAGGTTCGCGGCCCGGATGATGGACTGCTTTAGAAATAGGGGAACGATTTGAAACTACGATGGGCCTTACAATATCAAACTCTTTCCCAACAATATTGAGACAAATATCAGGCGGTTCACGATCGTTTTATATTTTTTGGACGTCATTTAACGGTTCTTTTTCTTGTTTTAAATAATTCCTACATGGCGTTCCCATATTTGGGTTTATCGTTCCCAAACATGGGAACGAAAATGCGTTCCCGAAAATGGGTACGCTGCGCTTGACCATAGTTCCGCCTACTGAGATTCTATGTACAACGATTCTAACATAGCATAGCTCCTCCCTCTTCTCCTTCAAAAACATTTTTATTGCAATATCACTGACAAAACAACAAAATTAATCCTGAAAACGAGCTGTAATTACACTGGAAGCGATGAACCCGATGAACCGCAAAAAGGACCGAAATCCGGCGCGCTACCGGCGCGTGGAGAATTAAGATGCATTGCGCCAGAAATGTACTTCACAGTCAGCTTAATAGATGACCGTCACTAAATAAAAAGCCAGCTTTTTTGGGTATCTTTGCCCAAAAAGGATTTTTAGATTGAAGAAATCTTGGTAAGAAAGCAAAAAAGTATGTTAGTTTTGCTCTCTGATGTCATTATCTCCAAAATTCCTTGAGTCAAACTGGCTCTAAGTGACCTGCAGTCTGAGCGGACCTCACACCGGATAATACTTCATGCACCAGTCTGAATGAGTTTTCGGTTATAATAAGTGGACTTCTGTTGCTGGTCAAGAGTTCATGGGGGTGTGAAGGACCCTGCTTAGGCCTCCACTCAATTTAGTGAATCACAAGTTGAGACAGTATGAACTCTGGCGGACGACGGACGTAGGCCCTCTCCATCCATCCAAGCTTGCAGCTTTAGTTCGCTCTCTGTTGCACAGGTGGCAGCACTTGTCACTCGCCGCACTGCGCTCCTCGGCTGAGGGCCACGTGAAATCTCAAGGCCAAGGTCACGCCGCCGGTTCACCACAAATACCCGACGGCACCCGGCCGGCGGGAGAGAGGGCTCACTCGCTCGCCACCCAACCCAGCCCGACCGTGCGACCCAGGTCAGGTCACAGCTGACCTGAGGCTAAACATCGGTCACCCCACGGATGTCCCACTGTCCCAGCTCCCCGCCTTCTGCTGCTACCGGAGGGGAACCCGGGCATTCACCCTGGGAGCGTATCGATTCGAAGCGGCGCTCCGATTGGTCGACGGGCCGCGCGGCGCGGCGCGAGGACCAATGAGCGGCGCCGTTCCAAGCGGCGCGGCGGCGGCGGCGAGGATTTCAATGTCTGTGGCGGCGCGACGTGAATGGCGGCGCGGCCGGCGGCCAGTCGGAGCCGCAGTGCCGAGATGTCGTGTCCGCCGGCCGGCGCAGCGTCTGGCGACGTGGGCGTGGTGTCTTCAACTACGTTGATGCGCCCGCCACCACCGCCACCGCCGCCGCCGCCGCCGCCACCTCCTCCTCCGCCGCCGCCGCCAGCGCCGGTGCCCGGCTCGCAACTGATGCGGGCACCGGCGGCGCCGCCGCGGCAGAGGATCCGTCAGAGCGGCTCCATCAAAAGGGAACGCGTCGAGGAGCCGTCCAGCTCGATCCCCGACCTAGGTAGGTCATCGACGGGGGTGTAGTGGGGAGGACGCCCCTCCGGGCCTCGCTCGCCGTCCAGCCGACCGGCGGCGGATGGAGGTTGAGTGGGCTGACCGGGTGATCTGGTCAGCTGACCGACTGGTCTGGTCCGGCTGGCCTGATGCTCCCCTGACCCTGATAGCTTCTGCTCTTGACCTGATGTGACCTGGTGACCTGCTCAGCTGAAATGATGCTCCCTCGACCCTTATTGGCTTGTCGTGACCTGACGTGACCTGGTCAGTATTGGCACCAGGTCAGGTCGCGCCAGCCAGAGATACTGTCGTTGCAACTGGCAGGTCGCATCAAACCATGGACATACGAAGAAATAAGCATTTAGAATGGACATACCCACTGACATTTCACTGTCACGGTGTACCCCTGCAAGATGAAACCGTACGATCTCGCGTCCCTTTTGCGTTTATTTCGTGCCTCGAGCCTCGAGGACTGTCCTCGGGGTGGGTTTTCGATGAAATGCATTGGAGAAACTGAAAAGGCTCACCCGTTACCGAATGAATGAACCTTATTACGGAGCGAGCGAAGCGAGCGTAGTCTTTCCTTAGATTAACAGAAATTTCTGAGTATGAGCGGCCGGCCGGCCGGCCGGCCGTGGTCACGCTTTTGCGAGGCTTTATATATCTCAGCAACCACTTGACCGATTTACACGCGGTAATTTTTGTAGGGTAGCTTCATTCCTTCTACCAAGTATTGGACTATTCCCGATGCATGTGGGTGACCCCTTATGCACGTGCCACGTGCAAAACGAAGAGGTGTCAGTTTTGTAATTGTTGCAATATCTCGGTAACTACTTGGCCGATTGCGCTGAAAGTTGGCATGTAGGTGGGCACCCACTAGGCACTGCATATACATGTGCCAGAGTTGGGGTGCTGCTGCACGTGCGCACGTGCAGGGGTCGTTTCCAGATCTCGGGAACGGCTGGACCGATTGCGCTCAAATTTGGTACACGGTTAGGGACCGGTTAGTAGGGTGCCGTGCAAAAGTCAGTTGGGACCCATTTTGCACGTGCGCACGTGCAGGGTGCCGCTTCCAGATCTCGAGAACGGCTGGGCCGATTGTGCCCAAATTTGGCACATCGCTAGAGACCGGTTAGTAGGGTGCCGTGCACAAGTCAGCTGGAGGTACCCCCTCGAAATTTCGCACGTGGAGGCTCACTCTCTCGCTCGCTCCGTTAGTCGCCCCAAAAGGCGTTATACTGGTCATTGATATAGGTAGCTTCTCGGAGAATCAGTAAGCGATACGAGTGCTTAGCAATACACTCGACTTCGCCACTCTTCATTGCCCCCATCGTCCATCGTATCATAGCTACTTTCTGATACTTAGATTATCCTCACTTCTCAGGCATGATGCAATTCCAAGAGTTTCCGGTGTTATATGTAATATCACTGTTTTATACCTAGCCGTCACAAAATCGCACATGGCTCTGTTACTGTGCTGTTCAGTTGTATCCGAAGTCGAAAGCGTCAAAGGAGTAGCTAAGCGGTAAGTTATTCAGCGATGCTATCGAGCATAACTAGGGGCTAAGATTCACTGCTGAATGCCTCTAAAATTAGGTAAGGCGAAAGAAAAAAATTAGCTACGCAGACGGCTACTGTTCAACTTTTCAGTATATCCCGTTTTACCGGAACGGTAAAGCCGCCGTCGCCAAAACCATCCGGCAAATTAGGTACTGTCTTGCGGCCACGTCGGCTGAATAACGTACTACCCATTTCGACGAACACGGGTTACTCTTAGTCTTACTTAAACATCCTTTACTTCAGTTACGTTTCTGTTCAAAACGGTAACCACCCTTCCTATACGCCGCTCGTTGATTGCACGTTCCGAGTGCACCGATATTGCGGTTTGCATCTTCACGCAGTTTCAGCGGTCACATCGCAACGAACTACGAAGCGTTCTGAGTACGTGTGCGTGCCCGAGAAGACGAGGCGTACATTACGGAGACTGGCGAGCTCTAAAAAACAACATCCCGACAAGGGTATGTTAATGTAGGAGGCAGCATGTCGCAGCATTATGCTGCAGCGTCGGAGGCGGGGGAAGATGGACCGTGCGTGGGTATAGGCCTGACGCCATAGAGGTCTTCTCTCTTGGACGATCGGGGAAG